AGTGTTGTGGCATCTACAAAAGAAATTCTAGACCAAAAGAGAAGTCAGTAACCAAAATCGAAAATAACAAAGCTTGATCTCAAGATCTCTACAAATCCTACTGAACAAAGCATTCCCCTAATGGCAACAGCTCCAAATTGATACAAGAGTTTTGACTCTCTTATGTCAATCACTCATTGTACTAGTCATTGTAGCATTGGGTTTTAATGTCAATCCAAAGGGGAAGATTGAAACAGCAGGATTATAGTAGATTTCCTAATTCAAGCAGATATAAAAAAGGTTATAGAATATCTAGCAATTTAAGTGATCAAGCAGAAACCAAACAAACACAAAATAAGGAGGAAGGCAAGCAAACAACCATAGTAAAGGTAAAAACAGAGCAAATTCAAAACAGAGCTTAAAACAGAGAAAAGATGGGACTTGAGATGAGATTATTGGTGTTAGGGAACTCTTGACTCAACCTATGATGCTTACAAACTCACACAATGATATTCCTTATGCATAGGATTCATTTATATGACTAATCCAATCTCTTGGCACTAATCTCTTTGCTAATTACCAAGTCAAGAACTAATTCTCATTAGTGAAATGATAAAGAGCAAGCATTAAAACAAATCTATCAACCCTATATTACCAAATCACTTCCTAGACAGTCAATCTCTTGAGCTAGGATAAACAATTCTCTTGCAAAGCAGTTCAGGCATTTCATCAAACATTTGGTGGGCATAAAATGAGTCTAAGATCTTAATCAACTTAGCTATGGCTAATTAAGCATTAAACACAGCAATCAAGAAAGGAAATAAAAGAATTAACACTAAGCAATCATAGATAGAGTCTCAAATTTCCTAAACCTAACCCATCTCAAATCCCTAAAAAGAACTACTCACTAAACACCATTAAACCATCAATTCAAAGAGAGAAGGATGACTAATCATGATTAGAGAGCTTAAACAAGATGAAAGAAGCAAACTTTAATTAAAATAAAGCAAAGATTCAAATTACAAAACCCAAGGGTCTAAACAAGAAAGAAAGAACTGCTGGGTAAAAGCTTGTTCCCAGAAATTATGAATTTTTCGTATTTATAGGAGTCTAAGCGAAAATGGCAAAATTATAAATAAAGGATCTTTAGTCTGGCAGCGTATCGGTCAGTTACAACAGTCATCAGTGACCGATACAGATCTCATCGGTCTGGAGTGATCGATACTGGTGACCGAAATCAACTCGTTGTGTTTGTGTCGGTCACCCTTGACCGATGCAGGTGATCGATGCTGCTTTGTGACCGATACTGGTGATCGATACAGCTTCGTATCGATCATCTTTGACCGACGTTTACTGTGCTCTAACCGAAAACCTTTGTAGAGATCGTCTGCTTTGATCCTTCTTGCACCCTTTTGCCCAGCTAGCAACCTGAATCATCCTCATAACTCCTCCAGGCTCCTTTTAGCTCCAATAGCACCTAAAAACATCCAAAATGCAAGGAAAATGCAAAATATATCCTAAATGCAACCTAAGTCTAAAAGGAGAAGAAAATGGGACAAAAGCTAAGGGAAAACATGCAAAAGAAGACCAAAATATGTACTAAATGCAGTCTTAAATGGTGTAAATAAAAGGGATATCAATACACTGCTTGTCCCTTAGAATTCTCAATAACCGTGAATCTGTTGATAGTATTTCGTCCTTTAGTGACAGCGTGAAAGTACCCTGAGTTGTGGTCTCCTAGGTTTAGCCATAGGGATCAACTTCCCTGTTTCCAGTAATCTTCCTCCTCTTTATAGGCTTTTGACAGTTTTCCTTTGATCTCTGTCAGGAGGGCTTCGTTATGTCACGTGTGGGTCAGGGCTATCTCTAGGGCTGCTTGGTGTTTCTCAATTTGTTTGCGGCTGTTTAGGTGCTGTTCTTTCCTCCATTGAATGATAGTCCATCTCACTCTAGCCGTGCGTTGTTTGACAGAGAGGTTTGTAGCTTTCTTCCAAGTTTCCTCTACTAGTTTTGTTACCTTTGGATTATTGCGAAGCCTTCTATCGTATCTGAATAAACCTTTGTTTCTTTTCCTTTCGGGTTCGAGCACCGAGACAATGGGTTTATGGTCCGATCCTTCCATGCTTTGATATTGGCATCTAGCTGAGGGGAAGAGCTCTGCACAGGCGCTATTGACCATTGCTCTGTCTAGGCGGCATCGGACAGTCTGATTGTCTGCTCTATTGCCTCTCCAGGAGAGAGAGTTATCGGAGTGGTGTAGGTCATATAGATCTGTTTCCGAGCAAAAGTTCTGAAGTCAGAATATGAGCCTTCTGGTCGTTGGGAGCCTCCCGTTTCTCTGATTCTCCTAGGATGTTGTTAAAATCCCCCATTGTAAACCACAGTCCATCCCGTAACCTTGCTAGTCTTGATAGTGTATCCCATGTGTCTCTTCTTTTGCCTATATCCGTGTCTGCATATATGAAAGTAGCAACAAAGGATTTGCCTTTATATCTGATCCTGGTGTCGATAAAGTTTTTGCAGGTTGAGAGGACCTCCAAGTCGATATCTTGTTTCCATAGGAGGGCCAGTCCCCCACTGCCATGTCCCTCAGGTTGAACTAGGACCTTATTTGAGAAGCGCAATTCCAAAGTAGCTTTAAGTACTAACTTATATGGGTTCTTTGTCTCTGATAGGAAGGTGATATTCGGAGAGACCTCTTTGTGGATAGCCTTTAGTCGTCGAACTGTATCAGGGTTTCCCAGGACCTGACAGTTCCATGCCACTAATGTTAAGGAAGAGGACTTTGGAGAGGCCAAAAATCCACTGTCTTCTTTGTGATTGCCGGTATGATGTTCATACTTGGTCCTGCATCCTCCGAGTTTGCTTGAGGCTTTGAGGGTTATCCTCCTTTTCCAGTAAGTCCATTAGTAGCTAGAGTGTTCTTCTGGTGTTTAGTCAACCTTCTTGGGGATGCTCGAATGTGTGCTAGCTTTCTGATTTTTGAGCTTGTACCCGCAAGGGCATGGGGGCTGTGATTGACATGTGCCTTTTGATGTTGTTTTCCAGGAGGGCGCCCTCTCCTTTTCTTCTCCAGCACCACTGGAGCCAGGCCTAGTCTAGCTAATAAACCCGGGGATAAGTTGGTGCTTGGTCCCTCCTCTAGGTGAATGGGGTTAGGGCTTGGAGAGGAAGCCACGACAATGAAGGCCGCTGTCTCTGCCATTAGTCCCCTTTGCTTTCCCTGTAGCACTTGTATTCTGTGTGCTGCACTCTCCGTTGGGTCTGCACAAGAAGTGTACTGTATAGTAACTTCCCGTAAATCCTCCATCACTTCCTCAGGGTCTGTTTTGCCGGTGAAAAAGCTGTGTCAACGAGGTTCACTTGGATGGACGGTCTAAAGCTTTTGGAGGAATCCGAGGAGTCTTGTAGCACTAGTTATTGGGAGTTGATGGGTGGAGGTCTTACTTTTTCCCGCCATTGTTGTATTGGCGAGTGGTTTCTTTCGCTGACTCTTCCTCTGTTGCTTAACCGGTTACGCAGGTCTCGTGGGTTTGAGCTAGGCATTGAATGATAGGAGTCTTTGGACCGAGTAGGTTCTCTATCTCTATATAAAAAAAGTCCCTCTCTACGGTGATGGTTATGAGGGTGTGCTTTTGCTTCCTCGGTTCTCATTCTCTGTTTATAATCCAGTTCATAACGCACTTTTTCCGCTTTGCTCATTTCAGAGACTCTTTCTCCAAAAGGTCGTCCATGTCGATCATGTCTATGCTGGAAAGCGCGGAGGGATTGTCTAGTCTCCTGTTCCCGCTGTCACCCTCTTTGTTGGTTTCTGAGTCTACAGTAATAAGCGTGGTCTTAGCTCTCAGGACATTGCTTTCTTTGTCTCTTTCTTTGTGCTCAGGGTGGCTCAGGGACTGTGATCGAGTTTCTCTAGGTGTCTCCCTATGTTTCAGCTCAGGGCAGTCCTTGCGCACATGGGTTATTTTGTAGCATTTTGTGCATTGGTTTTCCAGGCGCTCGTACTCTAGTGTGACTATCGCTTCATCCCCATTAGCGAACTCTAGAATAGAGTCTTGAGGGAGTGATTCGAGTCCATTGACCGAGACTTGTATTCTTGCAGAGGTTTTTGTTAGCTCTTGGTTCATAAATGCTCCAATTTGTTGCCAAATGCTGTGGAGAGTCTCCGTCTTCCAGTAATGAAGCGGGATCCCTTTGAGCCTTATCCAGAAGGGGATTTGCAAAGGGAAGAGCTATGACGTGGTGGGTTCCCATCTCTGTAGAATAACCATCCAATGTGCGAAATGGTAGGGTCTGTTCTCCAGTACTTGTAGTAGATCTTCCTCCGTCTCGAAGCGGAACTGGAAACAGCCTTTTCCCAAGTCAGATCCGATAACTTCTCCTTTTACTTTTCATCGCTTGGTGAAAAAGGATATCATTGACCATACTCTTTGTTCCTTAGGGTTCGTGAGTCGGCCAATTAGCTTGAGTTTGTTCTCCAAGATTAGATCTGAGTTGTCGAACTCGGGGACCCTAACGCGGATCCTGTGGGGTGGATCTGGAGAAGTGACTACTGCCTTTCCTTTCTCCGCGTAAGATAGCCGTTTATGCATAGTGTCTTGAGGTGAAGGGTGAGAAAGCGCTTTCCACTCTTTCAGGGTTATGCACAATGGTCTTATTCACACTTGTGCTCGGAAAAAGTCTCTTCCGGTAGGCTTATTCACATCGAAAGTTAAACCAGAAGGGAGTCTGTTACTTGTTGGGGACGCCTTTCACTTCTGTCGCTCTAGATGTACGTCGGTCGGGTTTCCGTTGGTGAAGCTAGCTCAATTCCAATATACCGTTGCGGACCCTCCGACCCAAAGGTGGGGGCTGAAGCACGGGAGCGCGTTTACCAAGGTAGTTTTGATTCAAAAAACTTACTATTTTGGGAAATACCAGGCAGCTGAAGTCAAAACCGGGGAAAACCAGGTGGTTGAAAGCAACCTCGGGAGTAGTGCTTGGGAGAGTTTTTAAAAATGTACTTCTTTCTGCTTTTCTGTTTAACTCTTTTTGTTAAGCATAAAATCAACATTACAAACATTTTTTTCTATAATAATTTTGATGTCCTCATCTTTATATGCATCATTACAAACATTTCGATTCGAGTCAAAGTTAAACGCATCATTACAAACATTTCAGTTCCAACTCTTGAATGACACTAGCTAGTAACTAAGAGCATCTGCATTGGTGAGAGACTCACATAAGTTTCTCATCAACTTAATAATAATTATTTTAATATAATTTAATTGTATTAATTAATTTTAAATTTAGAATAAAGTTTAAACCAATGATATGAAGACAATACATAAAGTGAGTCTTCCAGAAGTCTCTCATAATTTCTCAAATGAGAGACTTTTTCCATTCTTTTTCTTCTCTTTTGTAAAGTTTATTAATTTTTTATTTTAAGAGATTAAGTGAGAGACTACCAATACAGGTGGTCTAAACCTATGAAATTGGTTCATTGGTTAGTTTGGATTTATAATTTTTGCCGAATTGAACTAACAAAATTATGGGTCGGTTTGGTTCCTATTAATTTGGTTTTTGAAATTTGTTGCTGGGTTGACCTGAAGATTTCCGTTTTTTTTTTTCAAATTCGGGGTTTTAGATTAGTTTGGATAATTCAGTTTTTTCATTTCAATAACCCAAACCGCTGAGTCCAAGTGGTCACAACTCACAATCTCTGCAGGATCCAGTAAGACATTTGAAACATTTGCTTCTCCAGTTCATCCATAAGCACACTACACATCCACTTCTCCCATTTTTATCTTTTGTTTTCTTTTTCACATAAATGGTGAAATAGTGCAAGTCTTATCACATGGCATCTCACTTGCTCAAGATAGATAACTTCTTTTTACTCAAAATGTATCATATCAAAAATGGCTGAATCCTCCGTTTTCGATCTCGATAGTTACTAATGGTGTGACCTTTTTAATCTTTTTATGCATTTGACAAGTCTAAGAAACAACTAAAACCTAAACTAAGAGCAATTCTTTGCGACAATCAAAGAAATCTAACGGGATAGTGAAAAACTTTATCTCTGCATCAAACTATCAAAGTAACAACTGTTTTTAACACTCACATAGAAATCTCTACCAACATACCAAATTTGAGAGTTTAACAATCTGAATCCAAGCTAACATTCCATCAGACAAGTTCCAAATAAGTAGAAAGATGAAGGAAATCCTCACTGCCTCCTAATCCACACGGTAATAGTATTTTCTGCAAAATCAAAAAGACATTATAGGTTATTCCAAACCATCATATCCCATCTACGAAATTGGAACTACTTTTATGAGCAGAGAGCACCATTATTATATAATAAAACTTTTTGATTAATCCTCAAGTAGACTTGAGATATATAAAGATCAATATCACACAATTTAAGAATGTAATAAACCTGTTTCATGAATAAAAAGCGAACCAAATCGTGAATACAATCTGGTAAATTCTTGTTAAATTACTGAGCAAAGAGCAATGAACAGTTACCTGAGATAAAATAAGAATCCAGTGACAGACAATAGAAGACCTTCAAGATCACATTCGTTACTAATATATTATATATATCCACGGATCCATTGCTTCTAATAGAGCTTTATATAATATGTACACAATGGCAAGTGATGTCAAGATCTCTTCATATATATAATCTATGCATGTCAGTATTAAAGTCATGATTTAAAAATCAAAAGTTTATACCATAGTGTGACATTATACAAATTAATATATAACTGATTTCGAAACGAAAAAATAGAAGGAAGAAAAGCTAAGAGAGGTAATCGACCCTGAAGATATCCCCTTAATCCTGAGCCTGAAACCAACGCGCACTTTCGACATAGACGGATACTGCTGGGTGTATTCAAAATCGGAAACTACACGGTCAAAACGGGATACGAAGTAGCTTGCAACATGACCACAGAAAACCAACTGGAGGTCTTGACGGAACCAAGCACAACTACTCTAAAGAGTAGGGTCTGGAAAACTAAAACATCAAGAAAATTTAAACACCTGCTCTGGCAGATAGTTTCGGGCTGCATTGCTACTTGTGGCTGTTTAGTTGATCGTCATTGTGGTGTAGACCGCTCATGCCCGAAATGTGGAGCAGACGATGAATCGATAAATCACTTGTTTTTTATGTGCCCCTAGCTTTACAAACATGGGCGATCTCGCCGATTCCAAACATTCCGGACTGCTTTCCGTGCAAAGCTATTTACAGCAATATATATCATTTATTAACACAGGCAGAGAAACAAGTACAAAGTGAGAATAGCTACAAGATATTTCCATAGATCTTGTGGTACATATGGAAAGCGCGTAATGAGAAAGCCTTTAACGGGAAAGAAGTCTCCCCCATGGATACGCTTCAAATAGCAATTCAGGAAGAACAAAGTTGGAGAGTAGCCAATTTAGTGATTAGTGCAGGTGAGGACTTTGTCCCCCAAGCATCAGAAACAAACAAAACGGACTCCTCAGGTGGAGAAGAATGTTGTCAAGTAGATGCATCATGGAGAAACAAGGATCAACTATTCGGCTGTGGTTTTATACTACTCAAGGATGGCGAGACCCAGCTGTTGGGCTTAACTGCAGGTAATCTGGTACCCTCCCCTCTCCACGCAGAGTTTGATTCACTTTTATGAGCAATGAAAACAATCCAGCTTCAAGGATTCGAAAAGATGCACTTCAAGACAGATTGCCTACAATTGATTAAACTTATTGAAGGAGATGAAAATTGGCTGATCCTAGTATCAGAATTAGAAGAATTTAAGCATTTGTGTTCCTTATTTACTGATTTCACTTTATCATTTATCTTCCGTACTCTGAACTTCTAAGCTGATGCCTTAGCTAAAGGGGCCCGATCTCGTGGTTTCATATTCACACATGTAAACTCTCTGGTCCCAAATTAGATAGCCAATGAGGCTAACTTGTTTGAACCAGAAATTTAATAAAAAGGGTTAAGTTGCTGTAAAAAAAATACAAATTAATATATAAATGAGCAGATACAAATTAATATATATTATATGATCTGGTACGCCTATTTACCAAAGTTATAAAGTTCAGGTATTTGGTATAGTTATTTAGACAATTTCGAGAATTCTTACATTAATTTTCTATGTATATTAAATCTTTTGCTAACTTTATGACTTCAGATAATATTTTGATATTCCAAAATAAAGTTTTTGTTTCAAAAATACTTAAGAATTGTTTTACAGTTGTAACATTTGTGGAATTAACAAGATGATTCTGTGAATGCATGTATTTGAGCGTCATAGACTCAAGATGTAATATAAGCTTAACGGGAATGGTTTTTTCAGCCAAGAATGACGACTGAAATTAAGAACCATGTTAAGAAAAAGAAGAAAGAAAAAAACACTAGATAATAATGTTAAAAACTATAAGGTGAGAACACCAAACTCAAGAAGCTACGTACCGTTATTGTAGTTGTAGGATAAAATTTTATCGGATCTAAGTAAAGGCGATCCAGCTTCTCAAAGAAGGCTAATGCAAAGGCGTGGGACTTCTCCTGCTCTTTTTGAATATAAATAGGGCTCTGCATTGCCAGTTCCCTCTCCTTTTGCAGATTTACGACTCAGAAATGATTCAGTATCTTATGATATATGGCCAAGCCAGAGGAGGGATCTGAAAAGAAGGCAGAGTAATCTTCCTGGAATGATAAAACAAATATCAAAAAAAAAAAAAAAAGCAATTATGAAAGCCAGTATTTAGCCACAAACGATTATCCTAAATAACGATAGCAAAATCTTGTGATGAACTAACTATATATCAAAATTAAAGCAGAAACCTATGGAGCAAGCTCAGTAACGAACGGGGCCAAAAAGCAAACAAAACAATGTCTATCTATGATGCAAACGATACGATGATAACATATGGAACCAAATCTATATAAAGCTCTCATCTCACCAGATATCTTGAAGAGTTCTTTCTATGCAACCACCCTAGCAATTTCAAGAGCCTTGGACGAAATACAAAATATAAACCTTTTATATTATATTAATAAAAAGTAATTGTATTAATCAAAATAAACCAAACTATAACTTTTTGACTTTTTAAAATATATAATAAGTTGCTAGTTTGTTAAAAAAAAATACATAACTAGTTTGTATAATATTTTTTTGACATAATACTTCATTCAAGTGCATCATTTCTGTAAATTGCATAAAAAATTCATCAAATATAAAAAATACAAAAGAATATTAATTATTTTTAGGAAAAGAAAAAGTCATATATATCTTCCTAACTTTATAGATGCAAAATTATTGATAATTGTTTCAAAATTTATTGTTTCTAAAACTTTCTTTTCGATGCATAAAAGTACAAGACCATTCAACCTTTGTTGAAACATCGATCTGATCTTGAAATTCTTTGAAATTTTTAATAATTGAGATGGTTGTTGTCTTGTTAACAAAGAAAACAGTTAAGGTATAATCTTTTTGTATAAGTAGGTTATGACGTGTTATTAATAATTGAATAAATTATGAGCCTTTTTATGTACTAAAAAAATAATTATATATTCATAACTCTCTTAAAGAATATATTTTTAACAAATTTTATAATATATATAAAAAATTGGGCCCTTAAATTTTAAGTATAATTTCTTTTAGATTATAATCCTTTTTTTTTCTTAAATAGATCGTGTGCTTTATTATGTACTATAAATCAGTTCTATTTTTTCTTAATGTGTTAAAGAACACATTATAAAAAAGTTTTCAATATAAAAAAAAAAAAAATTGGGCCCTTAAATTTTTGGACCCATGGCCATTGCCCCTCCTGCCATGTCTTAGAGTCGGGGCTGTATGCAACCAAGAACAAAAACACACGAAAACGACAAACAAAAAAAAGTTACCTTTGTTACAGAACCACAAGGAAGAATCTGGCCGCAGTTGTCGATTGTCACGGGAACGTAAGGGTATTCTTTTCTGGCCATCTCCTTAACGTAATTGATTAAATCAAATCCACTAGTAACTTGTCCGACCACGACGCACTCATAGTCGCGATCAGGATCCTCCGCCATGACGAGGTTGAACTGAGGATTAATGGTCTCTTGACGACCATTGTGGTACATGGAGAGGAGACCTGGACGGTCGTGCTTCCTGATGGGCTTATTTCCCGAGTATCGATGGTTGCCGAGCATTGGGATATACGAACATTGGTACGCGAAACGGAAATCCCCTCCATCCCATATTTGATTTGGGACCACACGGTCGATGAGTGATCCCTTATAGTGGAGTGGTACACCAAACTTCCCGATGCCTTCCTCGCCGGTACAGAGAGCCCGGAAGGTCTCCGCATGCGGGGACTCGTCCGTGAAGACCTCCATCTCGATCCGACCAACCGTTTTGTATGGAACGTTTTACAAGCGATGAATATGGCTTTGAATTATTATTATTTGTTTTTTTGTATTAGATTTTTGAGCTACTATATATGTTATGGTTTCATTATTCTAAACACACAAAAAATACAGTAAGTTAATTGATTTGGCATATTTTGCTAAACATAAAAGATCATCAAGAGTGGTGACCGTAGTACATAACATAATCAAATCTCAAATGGGTTTACGTTAGGCCACATATTAGTTTAGTTAAAAGAGGGCCCAAATATGTAAACAAACAAACCCCAGTACAAATAATGTTGTTTCTCCCACATCGGAACTTTAACAACGAGACACTCGTCTTGGCGTAGTATATAAGAAGGACAAGGTCAAACCGATTTACATACTTACCTGGACGGGGTCGACTCTTGATCAAGAAGACGAGTGGCCTAAGCTAGTGACCTCCATTGCACACTAAGGAGGGGCGCTTAGCTTAAGGTCTCCCCAAGTGGGAGAGCCTGCGTCATTATTTGTGGCAGTGGGAGCCTGCGTTCGCGCGGCCCCTCCCAATCCAAGTTGAATATTAAATGGTTCACAAGCCCATTTAGATGGCACTGGCCCAAGCCTAGTAACCAGAGTTTGAAACAAATTGTTCTAGAAACGTTTGGTGCATGATTTTCATGTCCCACACACGGGTTCTTATCATTTAACGTTGTATAATGAAGTTTGGGTTTATATAATTGTAGATTTTTTTGCATCAATTCATTTCATTTCATTTCAGGTGAATCCTTTTAACATTTCTTCAGAAGAAGCATTTGTCAAAACACTTGAGATAAAGGAGATGTGTGGGGCGGGAAGAAACTAACCGAGTACGATAAAGTAATGGCGAGATGCGATAACGATATGTTTGAGACAGATATGTTGATGGCAGCTCTGAAGAGTGCAGTGGAGATTGCAGATGAGAGAGTCATGAGGGAAGAGATGAGATTGGAAGACGTTGAAGTAAAGTTCTATAAATGCATCGAACGGGTTAGTTATATGGTCGCAGAGATATGTTTGACATTGTGAGAGAAGACCACAAGAAGGCTTCAGTCCTGAAGTAGTCTGAGGTTCGAATGTGAAATCTCTGAAACAAGCAGAGCGGCCTTTGAGTTTGATGTAGTATCCAACATTGCACAACAAATCCTTGGTAGGGACACTTGTTAGCTATCTTTGCACATATACATTAAGTAATTATTGTAACTACGAGTTCATTGTGATTTTTTATTATTATTATTATTGATTTTGGAGATGAATTACATGAACTTTTGGGATCCATGTTGTTGCGCACTTGCGGGTGTATATGTGCATTTTACTTTTTTTCGATTTTCATATAATACGATTGATCATCGTCACGTTAATAAGTAGAATATGCCATAGAACATACCACACACGATTCAAATAAAACGAAAATTATTAAAGTAGACGAACAAGGAAACACACTAACACAGCACAACATTCAACCGGTGATGATAAAATCAATCAAAAGACGAGAACACGCAGAAACAACAAGAACAACAATCGAAACTCAAACACGAACACAAAGAAACCAAAACACATCTTAAAGATAGAGAGACCAATCATCTTAAACTCTCACTCACGGAGACACCAAACCACCTCCTGAGCTCGGAACAGAACCACCACCATTAGCTCCAACACCAGGAAAGCCCATTGCACCGCCCAAACCACCAAACGCACCGGACCCACCAAGAAGCGGCGTCCCGGACGGAAGTGGCAATGTCAAACCGGTCCCACCACCACCACCTGGCATTCCCATGAAACCGCCTATTCCAGCAGCACCACCGACTATGAAATTCTTACGGTCTTCCAGAGGGACATTGACGGTAGGAGACTCAGCTTCGTTAGGAGCAGTAGCTCCATGAAGAGGCATGTTCTGAGTTTGCTGCAAATTGCGAGCACTTGCGTGGACCAAAAGCAACGTAGCTGCAAAGAGAAGCACGAGATTTGTGAGTGATGAGAACCTCATAGCCATTGTTTAGAGATGTTAAAAAGATATCTAATTAAGTTAAGATGTTCTCTGTGTTGATTTGATTGCATGCATGGAATGGAATGGAATGGAATAGATTATATAGAGAAGAAGGAAAGAGGTATACAGTTTACGGTTGAGGATAATAAATTGGATTTAGAGACATAAATTAAAGAACATGAAAGCGTTTAATGTCTTGTCTTCAAAGATCATTGGTAATCACAGTCCTCTTTTATGGGAAAACGTAATGGTTATGTGTAGGGGCTTCGTATAGCTCCTGACTGTGATCGTTTCACAAGAAATTATACTACTTTGATACATTTTCTCAATTTACGTCAAATGAATTTGCGGTATTGCTCACTATAGTGCATAATTTAATTTTATAGTGAAGATTGAAACAACTACAAACAACATTGAAGCGAATAGTAATTCAAATCGAGTTGGTTGGATTCGCTCTTTTTCCTGTTCAAGTCTACAACTTGTTAAAACTAGCGAGAAAATAACAATGAGTTTTGATACGTTGAAACAAATCACTTTTATTTGTTTGACTTTGACATCATGACTCTAATTTAAAGTTCTAAAGCAATTTCCAAAACGCTCTGTTTGAATAGCAGAGACTTTAGCCACTCGAAATTAGAGTACTTTTCAGTAGTCTATAGCCAATTGTCTATACCACATTGGATAAACATTTGTTATTACACACACACACACACAAAACATTACTATTAAAACAGTTCTTGCTTTACCTTCGTTGACTTGTTAGTTTATTCACTTCCCATCTTCTTCCAAGACAAAAGGCGGGTTTTTCAGGTAATAAATAAAAATGATGCTTTATTTGTTTTTTTTTTTGTCTTAAGTAAAGCATATTTATGATGGTTTTTTTGGGGGAAACAATCTTCAAGTTTTTTATAAAAAAAAATTCTCGTAGTGATTTTGTAGTGAAAAAGGCAACAGAGCTAAACATATTCTTGTATCTACTTTTTCACAAAGTCATTCATTACCAAAAGCTTGATTTATTTTGTTTATCAATGGGTATGTGGTGTAAGCAAAATTGAAATGCTTTCATTAATAAAAATGGGCACACTGAAAACGAATATGTACATTATAAGTAAAAATGAAAAAATCGAACCCATTTCTCAAATAACACAAAAAGCTTTCTTCTTACGTAACCTTCAAATCCTAGATCACTCCATCGCAGAAGAAGAAGAGTGAAGCAGCGAAGAAGCAAGAAAATCGTGTTGCTACTCTTCACTAATCTATCTTCTCTTCTCATATATTTAGAAGAGGAAGCCGTAGCCATCATCTCATTGTTGCGCTGCGTTGTTGTTGGTGGCGTAGGAAGTCAATTTTCTCGCACTTTTCACGCTCTTGCTTGATCTCCTTGGGCATAGCCACAACGTCTTTTAGGGTTGGCAAGAGACGCGTTCACACACAGCAGATTATTAGACCATGTTCAATGGGAAAAACTCTTATAAAAAACTTTTATATATATTATATTAATATAATTTAATCATAACATTAATTTTTAAATATAAAAATAATTAGACCAATAATATAATGCATTGCACATGGTATAATTTAACTATAACATTAATTCTTTCTCACAATTTTAATATTTTTTTATATTTAGAAACTCACTTAAGATACTGCATTGCACATGGTCTAAGCATCAGTATCGGAGATCTGATGATAAAAGCTCTTAACATTTTTCTATTATTAAAAATATCAACTTTTTTTTTTAAAAAAAAATTTTTGACAAATCATGTCTTGCAACATCACGAGAGAGACGCCTCTTCCGCCCCTGCGCAGAGTCGACTCTGACTTTTAGTCTCGCCACATCATTGTTTCTTTTCTTTTTCATTTTTCATTTTTCTTTTTTCTTTAGAACCCTACTAAAACTGTCCAATATTGATGCTCTTAGAGCACCAGTATTGCAGAGCTGGTGATTGAGGCTCTTTAAATATTTTATTATTAAAATTTTTTTAGAATCGTTTCTATAGACTCCTCTATGAGAGTCGATTCTATTGACACATCATTTCTTTCTTTTTTTCTCTTTTTATTAATATGCCACATCACTTAGAAACTTACATGGATCTCTCAAATACTCATGCACTTAGTCCCCAATACTTGCGTATCATCTCAACGGCTTCAGATTCGATTCAAGAACGTTGAGGCTTCCTCTATTCTTCTGCCTCGCCCAATCCACAAAGCGAAACCTATCTGTACCATTATATATGTAGGTTGTTTACCAGTCAACATACTCTGCAGAAATACACATAGCCGGTTTAAGATATAATCATAAATTGGAGAACAAATAACATTTATATTAGGGGTTTTAATGATAAATATAAGTTCTAACTATAGTTTTTATAAACATATTACATGAACAGACCTGGAATATAACAATCTATACTATCAAAAGAGAATCATTAATTTGAAATATCCAAAAGCTACCATGGTATTTACTAAATATGTCATTGGATTCACTAGAAAATTTAATCATTTTATTAAGGTTAATTTTTTCATATCATTAAAATTGTATATTTATTATTAGATCTATATACTAATCACACATGATTTATTGGTATTACCTGTTAACAAACTAATCTCTTTTATATTAAAAGGATAGATTTCTAGGCTTCTAAGGGCTGCCACATCAGCAAAAATAATTAACCAATGATAGATTCCAAAACTGCTATGTCATCTTCTCTAACCAACAATTTAAAGTTATTTTATTAAATAATTTATTAATCAAAATTTCCTCAAATTTTACCTACAAAAAAACTTTTGTAATTCTTATATTCTCAATAAAATTAAATAAAAAACAAAGCTAAAAAAACTGAAAACGAATTACACTAAAACTCAATTATAAAGCTTAAACAAAAGCTCATTTTATGGAGTCATCGTCTTCTCGGGTTTCCAATCATCTCGCCTCTGACTCACCAGAAACGGAATCAGCCGTCACTAAACACAAATTTTAATTTTTAATTAATGACAACCAAACTGGTAATAAATAATAAAACATAAATAAATGGAGCATAAATATTTATAAATCCAAAAGGCATAGCAATGAGGATGTCAAAAAAAAGACATAGCGATGAGCCACATATGATATAAATAATACACAACTCTATCACAAATGAAGTCTAATATGTCTCATGCTTCAGATTTTTGTAAGCAACATAAAAATACAATCTCACAACTGTTTTGCATTTATATTTATAATGTGAATCAAGTAGAATGAGTCTCAATCATAGTATTGTTGGAACTGGAGAACGTCTTTCTCACCAAAAGTAAAACTTAAGGAGCGACTCGGTTTCTTTCTTCTAGAGAAAATTAATTTATACAATTGTAAATTTTTGACTTATAATAGATTTCAAGTTTCTAAAGCTGATATAGAGTTCCATATTGTTCGTTGTAATCCGGTATTGTGGAAAAACTGAAGTAAAAACATAACTAAAGAACCGGTGATTAAAGACAGTTACTCACCGTTTCTTAATTTTCATTTGTGAAATTTCATAAAACATAAAACTGAAATTTTTTTTTTCAAATAACATATAACGATAAATTACACACTCTTTACCAATATTGGCAAATGATTGAGCTAGCTAAACTATCAAACAAATATTATATCAATTAATAAGAAACTCATATAATAAAATTTTTTATTATTAATTGTCATTTGCTTTCTTCGTTGAATATATGAACTAATTATAAAACATCTATGTACAGACTGAATCTTAAAAAAAATTGATAAGTAGAGAAATGCATACTATATAAAAATTAAAAATAAAATCCTAAGATACAATATGAAATAAAAATAGAGTAAGAATTGAGTTTTTCTTTTTAAAAGCATCAAACGAAAGGGAAGCTTATACAAAATATTTTTGAAAGTATAAAAAATACTCATGGTGTTCACTAAAGAAATAACATTATAACACAAGATGTCCAAATTTAGAGAATAGATTTCTAATATAATATATAGTTCATGTGGATACTATTTACATAAACAAAAAATATAATAAAATTACACATCAAATTATTATATAAAAAGGTCAAACTTTATTCTTCATATTTGCAAAAACATGCATTACCTCTTAAAAAAAGTTTAACTAAGCCAAAAGATACATTAAGCTATTTTCAAATTATTATACAAAAAATTTCGATCATCTTTTCACATATATTTATACATCCTTCTGATGTATACTTCACTCGACTATATCTAAGAATTACCTGCAAATATACTACTCTATAATTTATCACAATATTAAACATAAAATTAATTGACAACTTTTTATAAAACTATAATATAATTATACAATCCACGCGTAGCATGGACAAAACACTAGTTTAATTTATTTTAGTTTAATTTCGAAAATTTTCAAAAAATTTCATAATATCATGTAACATCTTAACATAACTACCATATATTTATGACATAAATAATTATATATTAAAATCGAATTTATTATAAACCAAATATATATCATATTATAATCAATTTTCGTTTTTTACATATATAATTAAATATTCATAGTTAATAATGAATATGTAGTATTTAATTTTTAGTTACATATATACATACTATGAAAATAATATTATGTAAATATTTTTTTTAATGATAAGACAAATTTTTTTAAAAAATTACGTACATACAAATGTTTTGATTTTTTCAAAATAGATATTTATTAGTATTATCTGTTAACAAACTAATATAATTTAATTTAATTTAATTTCGAAATTATTTCAAAATCTTTTATAATATCATATAATATCTTAGCATAATTACCGTATATGTATGGCATGTATAACTAACATATTAAATTTGAATTTATAAACTAGATATATATTATATTATAATTAATTTATATTTTTACATATATAATTAAAATTAATTATTAAACGAATATGATATATTATCATTTTTGACAAAAATTGATGTTTTCGAAAGAGATATTTTATCAAACAATTATAACATATCATTGATAAATTTACAACAATAAAGTAAAACCCAAAACCTCATATTTATATATTAACTTAGATTTAATTAATACATTTGCACAAGAAAATTTCTCTTTATCATGTATTTCATTTTCACATATGATTTTTTAAAAATCATATAATATAATTATGATGATCATAACAACGTCTACCACACTCTATATTAATAGTATAATCTTAATTACGACAATTTTAAGAAAAAAATACTAATTAATATCTTTTAAAAAATCTTTATTTTCCTAAATTTTTTCAAAATTAAAGCATAAAGTTTTGATCAAAAAACAATTATTGCATGGCACAGATTATATTTTTTTCGATCAAAATCAGCATATTAAAATTACCAAATTCGAAATTATTTTTTAAATACTCTAAATTTTTATTCTGTTAATTTTTTTGATTTATGTCAAGTGTGGAATAATATTTTTGGACATGCTCTTAATGTGGATTTGATGATTTTGGCGCGGATCCAAAAGAATCATTGGTTATTTGATATCTATACAATGAAAAGAGAAGCACTTCTTTGAAATCGATTTTAATTTTATTTTTATTTCAATCAAAAACATTTATTCTAACAATATCTTATATTCATATACCAATTCTTGCTCGCGTAAGATCCTGCAAAATCAATATTTTTTTAGATGACCAGCATGTTGATATATTTCATAAAGAAAACAGAGTTAGTAATGATTTATATAATTTTATGCAGGTTTGGTTATGAAAATCTCTCTTGGAATTTGTTTTTTCTATGAACTTCTATCAATACAAAAAATGTTTGTGCTTTGTTTCTGTCTTCTTATGTCATGGCAAGACAAATTTTGTTTGTGATATTAATGCCAATTTTTAAAGTAGATACTAAGTGACTGTGGAAGCAACTAAATAGTTTTAGAGAAACAGTACAATTAAGAAATACTCATGTGTTTTATTCTTAGTCAATGTATATTAGTTTGCATATATTTATCATTAAAAATTTAACTACACACCTTAAATTTTGATTTTTGTGAAATAACTAGATTTCCTAAGATGAATTAATTTTGAAGCAAGAATAATGGTCTTATTTTCCACGGAATTTTTAGAGTGATTATATGTATTTTTTGATGTTATACACGATGTTATACCAATTGAATATAAAAAATAATTAATTAAAAAATCATATAGTTTACGAATATAAATCTGCTTGAGTTTTTTTTCAACATATTGCTTCAGTTATTTCTTAAGAGAATTCACATAAATATTGATTGAGAACTAAAATAAAAACCACGGGTGTTCACATATGTTTTAATAGAAGTACTCTTCATACAATATTCAGAATTGCGTACCTTAATTTTATGTATTATTATCTTTAATTGTATATAGATAATCTTTAACGGCTTTCATGTTTTTTTTATTCTCAAATGAATCAAAATCGTGAAAATACCAATTTTTTTTTAAAGATCGAAAGAAGATCTCAATCGCAAAATTTATAATTTGAAAGTATTCAATTTGAGAAGAAGAAAAAAGATCATGATTGCATGTGTTGCTATTGGATTAATATAAAAAACTCCTTCTCGAATGTGCTAAAATGTTAGACATAAAATTTTGGTATTGTTTTAAAATAAAACACTGGTCCAGAATGTTACTAATAAGTTTAAAAAAAAAAATTAAAATGGGTCAAAACATTTTTTTTAAACAAAACCTGTTACATAAAAAAATTTGGCAAAAAAAATGTTTAAAAGTTATTATAAATTTGTAAGGAGAAAAAATAAAATTTGTTAATAATAACTAATTAAATGTGTCAAAAATGCATACATTTTATTTTTGTATGAGTCACTATATAGAATTCGCACACAACAACAAATTAATTAAAATATCTGATCCAATTTTCCTAATTTTTACTATGTAAATATATAATATAAATTACCAATAATACGGATCCAAAATCTAGTTACTATACTATGTTACATTGTTAAGTAGATTGAGGTAATTTACTAACATGCCAGCCTAACTATACTTTGTTAAATATTTGATGACGTGTCATTATTGTTATTTTTATAAATTTTTGTGGTATTTCTTTTGACATATCGGAATTGTTTTTTTGTTTTTCCAACACATATGACAGCTGTTTAACTAAAAAAATCATTCAAAAAACAAATTAAAACACAATCATTATCTTTGTTTTGTATCTATCAATCCATCTTCAAATGATAAAATGATAGATTAATGGTTACAAAAATCTGTAACTACAATAAAACTAACAAAGTATTACAATACTGGTAAAACAAAAAAGATGGACTTCTTATCATATATCGCTTGTATTAAACTTTTTTGGTAGTACAAATTAATGTATGCCAGTACAGCAAACTGCATCATATATCGCTGTGACTTCTAAATGAATGCCAGCACAGCAAACTGCATCAAACATTTAAGATAAACAATATATATATATACTTATGTCTTGGTTATTCGATATACACCATATATATATAACAGACAGAACATAATGACATCTAAAAGGTAAAAAACAACTAAAACAAAAAGACATCCAATATGCATCCAACATAAACTTTTATTTTTAAGGTCACCTCTGACCCAAAAAAAAAAGACACCAACATAAACAGGCATTCTTGCAAAAATGACATAAAATTTGATTTGAATTGTAAATCTAATCCATAAAAATCATCTTCTCAACATTTGTCAATTTGTGTCTAAACAATCCTTCATAGTTTCAGTTATTCACAAAATTGCCATTATTTTTAATTAATTTCTTTTATTTTCAGAAATCCAAATGACCAATTAATCCTCATCTTCCTCACATATTTACGAAAATACTCCGAAAGTAGACTTCTCTCGGTCCGAATGAAGTCTACTAGTCAACGCCCAGGTTAGTTTTGCAATTGACCGCATGAAAAAGTAGACTTCTTTTGGTCCGAATTAAGTCTTGATAACAAAAAAAATGGAGTAGACTTCTCGAGTAGATTTCTTTAGAAGCAGGTCATTTTTGCAATTGACCAACCTTTGACTTTGTAGAGTAGACTTCTCTATGCAAAGTAGACTTCTCGCATGTCATTTTTGCAATTGACCAAAAAGTCAAATATTTTGCAATTGCAAAAATGACCCGCGAGAAGTCTACTTTCATAGAGAAGTCTACTAATATTTTGGCAATTGCAAAACTAACCTGCGAAAAGTCTACTTTTATCCGAGAAGTCTACTTTTCTTGTTTTTTAAAAAAAAAATCATTTTTATACAATATATAACGAATTTTTAAGATTTTCGTGATCCTAAGCTTCTGTTATTAAGTTTTTTTGCTTATGTATAAGTTTTGCATGTTTATATTTTATAGGTATAGTCGAATGAGTTTTCATGTTTTATATGATACTTAGCTTATTAAGAGTAGACTTCTTAGTCTACTCTAGAAGTCTACTATGTAGACTTCATCCGACTTTCAGAGAAGTCTACTTATGCAATTTTGATGTCTAATGTGGTTTGGATTTTGTTCTTTTTTCACAGAGAATGGCTCACATACCCGTTGTTTATGGAGAATGGGTTAAGGTGAATCAGTGTGGCAGTTCGAGGTGGATAATAGCAAAGGAGGGTGAATGTTGTTATTAAGAGATGGTTGCACACATGGTGAGCTTCTTGGTGAATGTTGGCAAAGGAGGGCGAATAGCAAAGGATGGCGAATGTTGTCACCTTTAAGTTATGTAAAATTAATGTCTTTAAGAAGTCTACTCGAGACAATGAGAAGTCTACTCGAGACAAGAGAAGTCTATTCGGTTGAGAAGTTATATGATATAAATGAGAGAAATGTCCCTCTGAATCATTTTTAAGTTATGTAAAATTAATGTCTTTTAGAAGTCTACTCGAGACATGAGAAGTCTACTCGAGACATGAGAAGTCTACTCGAGACAGGAGAAGTCTACTCGAGACAAGAGAAGTCTACTCGGTTAACAAGTTATATGATATAAATGGGAGAAATGTCCCTCTGAATCACTTATAAGTTATGTAAATTTAATGTCTTTAAGAAGTCTACTCGAGACAAGAGAAGTCTAATTTGTAGAATAGATAAACATAGATAATTTAGGAATTTGATACAAAACATTCAATGCAATTCAACATTACATAGAAAATAACCCTCTAAACAAACAAACATTTAAGGATCACTAGTTATAAATCTTAAAACCGGCATAAGAAATTACTAGTAAACTAAAATCTCTGAAAATTATGTATGCAATTGAAGTCTGCTTGAGAAGTCTGCTCGAGATCGAGAAGTCTACTCGAGAAGTCTGCTCGAGATCGAGAAGTCTACTCGAAAAGTCTACATTCAGATCTGCAAAAAAATCAACAAAATTCAGCTCTGTAACAATAATAAAAAAATTTAGATCTAGAACAAAATCTATAAAATTTATACAACAATAAACTCAGATCTACAAATATAAACTTAGATCTACAACAATAAGCTCAAATCTAAACTAATAAGCTCGGATCTATAATAATAATCTACTATATTTATAACATTCAGATCTGTACAAAAATCAACAAAATTCAGCTCTGCAATAATAACAAAAAATTAACAAAATCTATAAAATTTATACAACAATAAACTCAGATCTACAAAAATAAACTTAGATCTACAATAATAAGCTCAAATCTATAATAATAAGCTCAGATTTGCAATATGAACACAAAGCAAACAAAAAGAGAAACACAAAAGCTCACATTTGCTTACCACTACCATAACCTGCAAGTGAGAGGAAGTTGAATGCAAGATAGAGAGGATGGAGAGGATATTGATAGCAAGAGAGGAAGGAGAAGAAATTCATGGCCAGAGAGAAAGGAGAAGAGAGAGAGGCGTTTTTGAGATAAAGAGAGACTTTATTGTTAATACAATTAGGTTAAACTCTCTTTATATATGTAGAAAAAAATTCATGTAAGTAGACTTCTCCAAGAAGTCTACTCGAGAAGCCGAGAAGTCTACTCGAGAAGTTTCTTAGTATTGATTTTTATCATAATTTATCTATGATGATTTAAATTGATTATTTTCTGTCAAAATTTATTTTTAATAGGTGTAAAAAAAATATATTTGTTGTTATGTATCTAATTTTTTTATCAAATTATGATTTTTATCAAATATATATTTCTGTCAAATTATCTTTTATGATTTTTAAAATTAATTGTAAACATATTATTAAAGAGTAGATTTTTTGGATAAGTCTACTCGAGAAGTCTATTTAACTTCTCGAATAGACTTCTCTGGGATAAAATAGTAATTGAGGTTGGCGTTTTTTTGTTTGGTCATAAGGGTTAAAGTTGTAATTTAACTACCCCGTGAATTATTTTTGTCAAACATGCAATATGAGGTCTAGTTTTGCATTTCAACTCAAGTTTTTAGTCATATTCAACAATTCCCCCACATAAACATACTAAAAGTATCTTCAAACAATATATATAATATTAAAATAGGACAAATATATATATATATATATATATATATATATATTATAAACCCTTACATTAACATATTTCATGAATAAAACTAAATATTTGTTGGATGGAACTTGCTATGTCTTCTGCACTAAGCCTCGGCTCACTTGTAATCTGCACAAAACAGCACATCATGTTAGCCTCTTAACCAGTTGCTACATATTCTTTTTCTGTATATTTTTACCAGTTGCTACATATTCTTTTTCTGTATATTTTTACCAGTTGCTACATATTCTTTTTCTGTATATAGGTAAGCAGAGTACCTTAGTTCTGATTAATTATAGAACATGTAATCGCCATTATATGCAATCATCCACTAAGTGAAATATCTACTGTCATAGTGTCTGGACGAAACCACTAGACTATTATTTTCAGCACCATGGTTACCTTTGTTGGAAAAAAATATATGCCTTAAGCCATACTATATATTTTATTTTTAAGGATTACAATTTCTAAAATTCATCTTATTTTTAATGATAACTAATTTCTTGAAGATTCGTGTCTTTTAGTATAGTTGATTTTCTTTTATATATGATTTCCTAATAATATTTTCAATATATATTTACCTTATTTTTTGCTCTGGTTTCTCATTTATCTTGTTTATTTTTTATTTATTTGTAAAACAAAACTTATCTCATGTTGCTTGTCTTGCAGTTTTAGTTTTTATATATGACATTTGTCTTGCTATTCATATATTTAATGTCTTTGTATAGTTTTATTTACCAAAATATTAAGTTCATTTACGTTTAATTTTTTCAATTATGGTTCTGTTTCACATTTTAATAAATAATGTTATTAAAAATGATAGGTATATTCTATTTCTTAAGCAAAATGTAAATAGTTCTTATTTATAGAATATTAATCAATTTAATAATTTGAATAAAATATATATTCTATAGAAATTTTTTTGATTAAACTAAAACATATATATATATATATATAGGTAAGCATGCGCTCAAAGAAACTTTATTATGTATGTATTGTATTGAAACACTAATTATTACTTGTAAGCAAGTGAAACTTGCCTTGACATTGAAGGAGTAGAGGACGGTTTGTTCCATGGTAGTGATGTTAGAGTGAAGAATAGAGAGATGAAGATCTTCCAAAGCAGCTATAGTCATAGTTAATTGTCCTGGTCTTCTTCTTGTGAGTATCTTGATCATGGCGTCAAACCCTAGCAGCTTCACCTCCACGTCAGCCAAACAAGACTTGTTCTCCGTCGTCTCCTCCACAAGCCATCCTCCGCCCTTAAGTTCGGTTACATTTTCGGTAATAATGAGCGGTTGAGTTTGGTTAGCTACCACTTTTAAGGGGGAAGAAGAAGAATTTTTTGGCATGGCCATCTCCCCTATTTGCCTATGACTGGTTTCTCCTATTATTCTTCGACGCTTCTCTGATTCCAGACACTGTAGGAGTTGCCCTAGCTCTCTTACAAACTCTATTACGCCTCCTATGATCGACGCTTGGTCTCCCTATCGTATACATTAAATTTAGTTTGAATTTACATATAGTTTGAGACTTTTAGATGTCTATATACTATATCATTTTATCCATACCCTTTTAACGTAGGAGCTAGGCATGAGGGACCTGATAACACGTAGATGCTCGTTCATTTTCTTTCTACGGTTCCTCTCGACCGCGATATGAGCCATTCGTTGGCTTTCCATTTCTTCGCTTGTCTTGCTTGTTCTAGTTCTTTTCCTCTTGCTCTTCACTTTCTTGTTCTCCATATCTTCTTCTTCTTCTCCTCCATTAAAATGGAGTTGCACGGCGTTATTGTCGTTGTCTTCAAGAAACCTTGCACACTCCCCTCCTTCTTGAGACGTCTTATGAGAAGGGATAAGATGTTGGGTTTGGTTTTGATCTATCCTTTCGTTCAAGACTGGGATCTTCAAAAAGTAAACCGGGTCAATCCCAGTTTCTTGATCGTCTCGGTTCCTGGTCTGGCTAAACGCCAGTTTCGGACCGAAGTCCGCAAAGTGCATCACGTCTGCAAAGCTCATTTTATCACAATAAGGGGACAGTTGATGCGGCTGCTGTTGTGGCATCGGTTGATTTTGTTGTTGAAGCTTTCTAGCGAACGTATAGTCTATCATACAGGAGCTGCTATCGTCATGAACGCCAAAAACTTGGCCGGAGAAGTTCGGTGCCTGAGAGGAATGAATCATATAGATACATAAATGTATAAACATATATTGATATATATAGGAATGGGAGAAGAAATTAAATCTAAGATATGGGAAAACGTACGTACCGAGTAATCTTTATCCATCACTATTCGTACGTACGTGATTATCAACGTCTTAATTCTAGTTAAGGATTAACTTCTTGACCTAACGAAAAAAAAAGATTCAGAGTCAGTTGAAAACATATACATCATGAAGAAGAAGAAAACAGTTAAGGTCAAATGTAGGAAAAATAGACGTTCCATGGCATGTATGCATGCATCTCTATACAAATATAATTCAACGACTAACACCAAACACATTAGAACTTAATTGTTTAGTATGGGATGTTTAAATAAAGGGGAGCTAACCTTGGATGATTTACTAGGGTTTGCGAGAGATGCATGTGTTTGAAAAAGACAAGACATGTAAGAGTAAAACAAGGCGAATCTGTTTGGATTGAGATTTCACAAACGCGCTCCCCCCACCCTATATATAGAGAAGTCACAAATGAGCTCCCATATACATGGGTACACGCAAAGTATAGAAAGGGGGCATTAAAGTTCTTATATGTTTATATTCTTAATAATTTGTTTGAAGAAGAGTAAATCACTAAGGAATCATCATGTTTTATATTAATTAAATTAAAAGGAATCATTATATGTATGTAGGTCATCTTTTAAGAATGTTTCAATATTAATGTTTTATACTTTTTTCATTTGATTTGATTTGCTAAAGTTTTATGCAAAATATATGTGTATTTAGGCTATGAGTAGTGACTAATAAAAGAGAAATGAAAGAAGAAACAAATTGAACGAAGAAAAACATTGCATTCCTTCTTATTGAAAATTAGGAGAAGGTTTATGAATTACGCATATTTGTAATATTTTGACTATTTTATTTTTACAATCTTTCATTATATTTGTTAATAAAGATTTGTCAGTAAATATTAATTTCTAAGTTGTTAATGCTATGTAATTTATAAAAAAATTATATTAAAAAGTTGGTAAAATAATAATATTCGATTTAACCATGTTAAGGGGGGTGAAGCTACCACCATAGATTACCGAAAAGAAGGTTCCCGAGAGTAAAATCCATATTATGATAGCTATGGCAGTTTGAAGTTCGATGCAGTAGGAAATGAAGTAGTGAGCCATTTATATAAAAAAGATTTCATAAAAATAAAAAGTGCATGATTTTCTGTTTGATTGATCAAAAAAATAAAACATAAAAAATGAATATATTTTTTGCACAGAAACAGTGTTACAATGAGCTTTTAAAAGTTAAAAAGTCTTCTAAAATAATGTGAAATATGAGACCTAATAAAAAAGAATCTAGTGGAAAAGAGAAAAGAAATTGAAACATTGTATTTGTATTTGTATAATAAAAGTGAATACATAAGAGATAGAAAAAAAAGTAACAGTTGACGTTACTGTATTATATAAGATTTATTTGAGTATATGATTTTTATTCTTTTTGTTGGATGAAAAAAAATCTTTTGCAGAAGAAGAAAAAAAAATGAAGTTTTATTTTTGTGTTTGTTTAAAAAAAGAAAATTTAACATAAATAATTTTTTTTAAATGACATATGTCAGTTTTAAAACTAGATATATGTTTTTGTGTTTGTCTTGTAAAAGAGAATTCAATATAAATAGTTATAAAAAGTAGAAAAAGATGATACATGTCAACTTCTTAGATAACATATGACATCATATGAGAGTTGCTTTTGAAAAGATTAAATCTTTTTTCTATTAAAGTGATGGTATTTATTTTCTAAAAAATTGTTTTTAAATTATCTAAAACCTAATTTATTTTGATAGTTACCATTCATTCTTTACAGTAGTTATTTCATTCATTTTTTTGTATTTCATCTTTTTATTTTATAAAATTTGTTTACTATCTATTTTTGTCTCTTTTGTTTTTATTATTTCTGTAGCAGTCACCAATAAGTTTTATTAGTTAAATTGTTTGGGTAAATATTAAACAATAGTTAATATATAAATTTTATTATAACATTGAAAATATTGCATCTAGTTTCTTATATTTTTGAAGTCATGACAGACACACTACAATATTTGTAAATAATAAAAAGGTGATATAAATAAAACAGAACATATGAAGTATTAGTATGTTTTAGTTTATTTTATTAACGCTTTTTTGTTGTTTTGGTGTATATATATGTTAGAGGGGAAATTAGCACATTTCTTTAAAGGCTTTTTTCTAGCAATAATTTAAGCCTATCAACACTAGGAAGACTACGCTGACGTAGTTCCGAAAAGGAAAATCTTGAATATAATCTTGAAAATTCCAAAAAGACGGGTTGGCTTTAAGGAATATTCAAGGATAAAAGATAATTTCCATATTTTTTGAAGAACAAGCGATATTACCATATCGCAAATATGAAAATATTCACTAAAAGAAAAAGGAAAAGGAGTTCGGAGCAACCGCCCTCCTATTCCTATAAATAATTAGAACATGATGCACAAGAGGAACAACTCATATAATCTAGAGAGCAGCAGAGCTAAAACCAAGAACTCCAACACTTTCTAGTTTACTTCACAAAACACCTTCTTTTCACTTCGCAAAACACCTTCTTTTCACTTCGGCATAACCTTTCGGTTAAGTCATCTCTTGTAATCGTTTCTTCTTTAAGCTATTAATAATAAACTTGTTCTCCGTAACCCACAACTGTTAATCAAATCCTTAGTGATGATTTTCTAGTTCAATAGTATATATATAATAATAATTATTAATATGATATGTCTTATACATTTTATAATTGGTTTTAATTCGGAGACCGACAATAAAAAGTGTGTTTTTCAAATGTCTGTTTCCAATCAGAGATCTAAGTTATATATATGCTTTTCTATAGAATAACATATTAAAATCCAATTCAATTGAATTAATTATCAAAATCGAGATTGAATTTATAAATTTTCATTTTTTAATTTTAGACCACAAACTAATTTTCAAAATTTATAAATGCAATATATTTTTATCATTTAAAATATAAAGGATGCATGGTTACAATAATTAATATCACAATGTAAGCATTCGAGCAACGATCTGCCAATCGAGAATAATTCATTCAACCATGGCCATATATATAATAAATTGGATCATTTTCTATATTATTGGAATAATAAGTACTGTATTTCTCTTTCCGTAAACGTAAAAGCGAAGACCACAAGAATTCTGAAAAGGAGCTGTGTAAAAAACACGTGTGTAAGTGTAACCACTAATGTGTAGATGAGTTTCAAGAGTTCACAAGCCAAACCGCTCTTTTATCCCACCGCTTTTCGTGAACTTAATCTAGATCATGCAATTTGATAATTATAACGTCTTTCCATCATGCATATTATTTAAAATGCATCATAAAATAATGTTATTAAATAACTTAAACTGTGTTGCACAAAAAAAAAAAAAAAAAAAAATATATATATATATATATAACTTAAACTATTTTCCCTGTAAAACCTTTCTTGTTCACGCATAGCATGAACGATTAATCTAGTAGAACATACATTATCATAGTGTGGGTCAGTGGGTGCCCGTTGATATGCCATTTTCCTTTTACAGACGATATTGTTCTCTTTTGTTTTAAAAGTGGAATAGGCTCAATATAAAAAAAAATGTTTTATAGTAGATATATTGAGGAATTACGTAACGGAATCATCGTAAGAAATCAAAATTTTATAATATTTTGTGATGTTTAGGAAGGAATTTCCGAATCAGGAGCACGTGAAAGATATTAGGCAATGCATTTTAAATAATATGCATGATGGAAAGAACGTTACCTTGATAAGACTCTTATTTAAGAATTCCGCAAAAATTTGGAAGTTGGAAGATTAATAATTTTAATTACATCAAAGAGAGATTACAAGTCTCGTATCAATATAGTCTAGGTGAAAATGAGATTCACATATTTTATATATATTTAATTAATGTGTTTTTTAACCCATTTTCTTTTACAGGTATTTCGTCGACACAAAATGTTTTTTTTTTTCTAACTTTCTTTGACTTATTCAAACTTGTATTAGCATTTCTGAAGATTTCTAGACCATTGCTACTGATCGAGAGGCGAACATGAAGTTTTCCCCATAAGCATGTGGTTCATTTGCAAATTTAAAAATGATTAAATGAATAATACAATGCTTGGAAACCATAATATATGATCAAGTGAATACAATTGTTTGAAACGAAATTCAATTTCTCCCCACATATATATATATATATATATACTCTTCATTTATTCAAATTGGAATTCTGGTCAGAATAATTTACTAAAAAAACACTCCTCGGGATCGGGATAGGTATATTTGCAGGCATCAATGCACGCAATCAACAGTATCACCAACAAATTTTCTACTGCTAGTCTCATTTTGTTTTACTTTAGATTGGCTGTAGAAATGTTAAAAAGGAAAAAAATGGAATGGCTGTAGTCTGTAGGTAAAAAAGACAAACAAAACAAAAAGAAAAGCCGTGTATCGCTCGCCCTTTTGATCTTCTTCCTGTCCACTTTTTCTGTCACTTTCCTTTTGTTTTTTTTTTTTGCTGAAACACTTTCCTTTGTTACTTTTACTTTCTTTCTTTACGTATGATATGCATATTTTATATATATATAATACATACAGTAATATAAACTGCTTGCATTTCTTTTAGTGATGACTGATGAGTCTAATTTATACTGTATAAAATATAAGGACATAAAATACAAGTACAGCATTAAATATGAACAAAATGTTTTGATCGTGTGTCTTCCCGTAGTCAACGTATTTCAAATGAAATAGATCTTATTGTTAATTTGTTATCTATCATTTTTGTTCAGTATAAGGATATCAAAGTAGCTTTTCAGAGCTTTTTGTTTTGTTCAAACTGAATTTAGAATACATTGATCATTCGATCTTGGCATTGACTAGCTTCTTGCCGTGAACTAACAAGAGAGAGCTTCTTCATATTGTGGTCTCGTAAAACTCGAATGAAGGAGATTCGATTCCGATATTCCTTACGTGTTTTGTTTTTGGTCGGACCGATTCCTTACGTGTTTATCCATCTGACTGATTATTCGATTCGGTGATGTATGAATTTCACCGTGACGTTGGGCATTGCGCTCTTTCCATAGGATAGATATCGTCACTTTTATTTATATATACATATATTACATGTTCATGCATGCGTTGCAAATGTCATTTTCATAATATTTTTAGGTTTATATGTCTCTTTTTATTTAATTCAACAAAGATTTTATATCGATGCTCGCTGTTTCGTTATATACTTAAAATTTATTGGAATTTGAAGAAATGGAGTCTTTGCACCATAATTTTCATAATCTCTGAATAGTTTTTATACTTCATGTTTTTTTTAATATCCGGGTTGATCACCTTGTTAAAAACGCTCAAACCTATAGTTTGATTCAGTTTTTCCAGAGTGGATGGTTTCCAAACCCAATATA